CCTAGTAGGAACCTATTATTGCCTAAGGGAAAAAAAAAAGGATTTGCCCTTATAATTTATATGATTATGGTGACTCTTCTTGTTGGAGAGTAGATGAAAATTTACAATAGGATGTGAAGTCAGTATTCCATCAGATCAAAAAACTTTTGTGTACCTGCTGTTTGGGAATACCTTTATAGTCACCATAAACAAGAGCATATTCCAAAAGCTCACTCCTTTCAACCATCTTAAGAAACTCCTCTTTGGTAACAAAATAATAGTCCTTTCCATCGATTTCACCAGGTCGTTGTGGTCTGCTGGTCGCTGTCACGACAAAATGAATCCCTTCTCGAACTTCTAGCAGCCTCTGTTAAACAATACCAAGTAAGGATTGAAAAGAAAATCTTACACATTAGCCAAATAGCCCCAACAAAAGTTCTCTTAGCAAAAAGTAATTTACATTAAAAAAAAATAAAAGTCAAGTTCCAGCCTGACCCATAGTAACACAACAAAATCCTTGCCAGCCTGACTTAAAGGTAGACTCAATAAAATCATACGACTTTGGCATATACAAAAATTAAAATAAAAAATAAAAAGCTCTGTTACCTTGATAACTGCATCCTTGCCAACGCCACTTGGTCCACTAATAACAAGAACTATAGGATTTGGAGGTGGTGATAAAGGATCTGAACTGAAAGGTGTACCTAATGCTGCTTCAAGGCCCTTGTACATTTCAGCCTAACAAATACCAATAGATACGGCATTAGTTTCACATATCAACCAATACATAACTGCAGCAAGCATTGATACAAAATCTAAAACAACTATTTGCATTTTCCTAGATGGATTCAATTATATAGATAATGATGCATCTTGTCTCAAGAATGGAGACTGACGACGTCAGCGTCTTACGTACTAAAATCAATTATGTATTTATGTCAATGGATCTAATGGTGTGATCAACAATATCACCCAAGAAGAACCTAAACAGAGAAATCTTATCCCATATCATGCACGTCGTCACGTTTTATATTCTAAAAGAAACTTGCGAAGACACGAAGCTGAAACCTAAAACGATGGAAGAAAACAGAAGCCGCGACGAGGACCAGAACCAGAACCCAGACAAGACCACAAATTTGGAAACAGGCTGATAAGACCCTAAAGTCTTATCGTCGCTCTGATACCAAATGATAAGACCCTAAAGTCTTATCGTAAAAAAGAAGAAGAGAAAGAGGATGATCGCTTCGAGGGGATCGGCCCTCCTTGATCGCTTCGAGGGGATCGGCCTCCTAGGGTTTGTCAAAAGACAAAATAGTATTTTTCATAGATCCTTGAAAAAAACAGTTACATCCCTATTTATAGAGTTCCACCCAGAGTCCATCAGGACTTGAACTCTAATAATAAATAAATATTAAATAAACATCTACTTGACTCTAATTGAACCAAACCGACTCAATAAATAACTGGACTAAACAGACTCAATAAACATTATTCAAAAGCTCAGAAAAAGGGTCCTAACAGTTCCTCCCTCTTCAAATCAACCTTGTCCTCAAGGCTGAGCAGCATCAATCTCGGGGAGCTTGTCTTTTAGCACTTCAGTCATAGGCTATCTGCAACGCATCACAACCCGTTGATCAAGTAAGTATGGTCTCCACTTTTTGACAGTGTAAGCAATAGGTCGATCTTTCAGTGTAGTAATCGTTGTAAGAAATTCCTGGCCTTTGCTATCATAAGTTAAAATTCGTCCATCAGCTTCAAATATATCACATCCTTCAATGTGGTGGGCTAATTGGGCTGCAACTTTCCTGTCCATAAAATTATTAGTGCTATCTATATCAATCAAAATAGTGACAGGTTGATGCTTCAAAGTTCCTCCGATTTTCATAGTTTGTGGGTTAGTGTAGCCAACCAATGCATGCATTGTATGTGTGATGGCTTCAATATCTTCATCAGTTTTCATACCTTTATGATCGGAGTCCAACTCTTTTACTTTTGGTTCCTCTCTAATTGGCTCAATCATCAGAAGTTGCCCTTGTTTACATCGGTGCTCCATACTCCACTTTTCATCATAATACAAACCCTTTGTTGATCTTTCCTTAAGTTCTTCTTGGGTTAGTCTTCGGGTGTCAAGGCTTTGGTTGGGAATAGATAGGGCTGGTGGCTTACTGACCATCTGGTTATTGTCACTTCTGTTTCCATGATTTTCCCTGTTGATTTTTTTCTCATGTAGATGTGCGAATGAGATCGCAGCTATCATAGTGCGAGGTTGACGAGCCTTAACTTCACACCGGATCTCTGGAATAAGACCTTCAATAAATGTATCCAGAAGTTATCGTTTCGACCAATCTCTAGCTTGATTTGATAATCTTTCAAACCTACTCTAATACTCCAACATTGTAGAAGTCTGACAAATTTTTTAGAGCTGTCCATCCACCTTCATGTATGAGTAGATTGTGTCACAATCTTGGGACCCTTTTCTAGTATTTCCAGATCTGTGCAATGTAGAACTTGAGCTCCCACCTTGTTGAAATTTACTAAGGCTCCCAGTAAGTCCTTTTTGAAATCATTAAGTACTTCTTGTAACCGGTTCTCAATTCTAATTTCCAATGCTTCCATTTGTGCTTTCACTGAGATATTGATAGCCATTTCGTAAGACTGCAAATCTGTAATCACAACTCCTATTTTTGGTGTTGGTCAAGGGCATCAATCACTGTCCTATTCGGTGCTGCTGTTGTGATGCAGTCGATGGCAACACTATGAGAATGAAGGGTTGCTGCGATGATGCAGGGATGTAGCTGCGGTCGTCGCGTGGGAAGCAACGATGCTGCGTAGAGGGATCGCTATTGCTAAGGGCTTGGAGGCAACGATGGTGGTGCGGCTAGGGCAGCACCGCCAAGGGCTCACCGCTGCGATGGCTGCGACAGTGCGGATGAAAGGCAGCGTTGCTTTGTTTCTATCACACTGCGGAAGGAGGCGCTGGTGAGAGGCAACGATGCTTGTTGCAGTCGCTGCGTGGAGGGATCGCTGCTGCTGAGAGCTGGGAGGCAGCGATGGTGATGTGGTTGGGGGCAGCGCCGGCAAGGACTCGCCGTTGCGGTGGCTGCAATGGAGGAAGAGTTGCTGCCCTGTGTTTTTGTCACTGTGTGAGATGAGAGCGCCGAGGCTGAAAGGCGACGGTTGTGACTGCTGTGACCCAAGGAAGCAATCGCCGAGCAGCCGGGTTGAGGCTGCGGTGATGCCAACCAACAACTGCAGCAGCGGA